TAAACTTTATTGATGGCTGAGTCCTACTCTGGCAGGTGATAATGGTTGGAAGTAAAGAACTCCCTTTGGGTGATCTGTTAATATTTTGCTTATCATGGCTGGCTCCTACATTGGTCATATACATATATAAAGTCCTCCATTCAGTGCCACAATCAATTTTGTTGAGGACAAGTCACAGTACGTGTCATAACACTGACAGAAGCACAGACATGGAAATCAATAAAATAGAAGGCCCAAATATAAACACATGCACCTATTGCCTCCTGATTGTTGAGGGGGGAAAATGTCAGAAACACTCACTGCAGAAAAGACAGGCTGGCTGTTTAGAAAATGGTTTCAGGAAACTGAATTTCTACTTGTGGAAGAATGAACTGGATCCTTAAGGCCCTTTTACACAACACAAAAATCAACTTCAAGTTTATCAAACACCTTTGTGTAAACACAGCAGCCCTGAAATCTCTGAGGAAAATGTAAGCACTTCAAGAGATGGACATAGATGAAGACTTTCTCAATAGGAGTCTGGCCTCTGAAAACTAACAACTGAAAAACGGGGCCTACACAATTTCAAAAAAATCTCTTCTGCAACAGAGCATGCAAATGAAATGCAGCTCACAGGGTCCAGGAATCTCTTTTAAAGATGTGCCATGTGACACATGTGGCATACACAGGCATGTCTTTTATCCATGAGTGGTCTATTACAAGAAAGATAGGACCAAGGATCTTGTGTTGTCCCCGTCATTAAAATTGAGTCTCCAAAAGTATATATTCAATTCCGAGCTCTCAAAACCTGCACAACTCACATTCTGGCTTGTGTGATGGTCCTGTATATTCTTCCTGCTATTTGCCTGTTTGCAAGGACTTCCTTGCCCCTCTGTCATGCTGTCATAGTTAATGTGCACATGCTCCACTCTGATAAACCCAGCAATTAACAGCACCAAGGCCCAGAAAGATATTTCCCTTGAAACAGTCAGAGACCCAGCATGCTCTCAGCCAACTCACCTCGACTAGATTAGTTAGGAAAGGTCAAATATCTCTCACCTAATTATAAGAACTAAGTTGGTATATTCAATTTAATGTCACTCAAAACATCAGAAAACACTGAGGCCTAGAAAAAAGATAAGCCTATGAAATAAATTTACAAATTAAATGCAATTTTAGACCAATTCTGGCTCAAATCTGCATAGGTGCTGTGGATATTCCAGTATTAATAATCTGTGTAGGTGCTGTGGCTATTCCAGTATCTGTGTTCCATATTATTATGGATAATGGTGTGACTAGACTGTCTGGTGGCTGCCAGAATGTGAGGAAAACTTGTAATCGACTTTCAGCTAAAGGAGACTTTCTGTGCTTCTGTGATTTGTCTGCTCCTTACTCCTCTTCACTCTTCTCTCTAAATGATGTCAATATGGGAGTGAAAAGTCAGCTGGATTCTGTGAGTCAAATCAGGGCCTTACGGTTTTACCACTGCTAAATAGACCTCCGTTAATGCTTATTCCTTTGGTGGTCAGCAATGTTAGAGGAGCATTTTCTTTTCTTAATATTACATTTAAAAATTCTAGTAACGTGTATAGATGGCAAAACCAAGAAGGGAAGTTTGGAGAACTTGTGTAATGAAGCAAGCTTGAGGTAACCTGAGAGAATGCTAAAGTTAGATACCAAATGCAGTTAGTACCTATATTAAACTCCTCTTTGATTTAAAATACTTTATATAAAATTTTGCCTAAAAGGGGTGTGCTTTAATTATTAAATGATGTGGCTTACTTTTCATTTCCATTTGTAGCCCAGTCATTTGATTCCTGAGCTATCAATATTTGTCTCCTGTCCCTCTTTCCGGGTGGCTGGTGGTCTGGTTTAGTCTCTCCCCTTCATTCCCTCCAGTACTCTGGGGGCTGAGTCAACAAGTCTGTCAGGATGAAGCATCAGTGAGTGGCGGTTCACATCAACACATCACCACATTGACGGCTGTGGCTGTCTCTGCTGATAAGGAAAGCTGGCTGGGAAGCCTTTAGATCAGTCAAAAATACATCCTGCGTAGGTTCTTGGTTTTTGAAGTATATAAATCTATGAGGTAGAGGGAGGAAGGGAGGATGGGAAGGACGGAGGGAGGGAGAGAGGGAGGGAAGAAGAGAGAGAGAGAGAGAGAGAGAGAGAGAGAGAGAGAGAGAGATTTAGAAACCTACTCTCAGAATTACAGTCTTGGTGCAGTAAAAAAATGACAATAAGGGTCCCATCTTTTTTTATTCCCAATATGTACACTTTTCATTTTTCTGATAATACATGAAGTAAGTGAACTATGCCTATTTCCGTATGCCAAATAAAAATTCAGTTTCCAAATCTGCTGTGGGGAGTTTCTGATTAAATCAGGCCAAGCACTAAGAATTAATAATTGACAGAACCCGAAAGATGTTGCATTTTATAATGGTTCAGTCTACAGGTATAGCTCTTAAATGACATGTACTATCTCTTACAATCTGTATTTGTTAGTGGTCTTCTAACCGCTGACACATGGTCAGTCAGCCCTCCTGCTATGGGAAGGGTTGTTCTTTGTTTGCTTGCTTGTTTATCTCTTTGGCAAGTTAGAAAGTTCACTTATGTCAGTTAGTGTGTAGGTTGTGAAAATCTTCAGTTCTGCATGAAATAAGAAAGCATTGCTTTCAGAACTAGTGAATATAACTTTCATATTGGCGGATACTTGACTGTGGATTGTAGGGGGCCCATGTTTAATAAAACAGATTCACTCTCCTAACAGAAATGCTTATTTAACCTGTGCTCAGCTGATTCCTCCCCTCATTGGCCTGATTGAGGTGGATGGCTCACTGTGAGTTCAGGAGCCACATGTGAAGAGTTTAGCTGCTGGTTTTTGCTTTATTTTGCTTTTTAAATTTAGAGTCACTTCTTACCTGGAAGTTACCCCTAAGACACTTAGATCTAAACTAAAGATATTTTACTTTCCCAGGTCATATTTTATGCAGTTGACTAGATTGTGATAGTCTGTACGCATGCTGCTCGCCTCCAATGAAGCGAGTGCAGAAGCTCCATGTCTCCCCAAGCCTGTGAACACTCATCACACAAGCTATGAGGAAATACTGAGGAATCTCTTATCTACAAAAATACCTGGTGAGAATGAAAGTTTCAGAACTGGTAACTGCTAGTATGTCTATATAACACACACACACACACACACACATACATACACATACACACAACTGCTAGTATGTCTATATAACACACACACAACTGCTAGTATGTCTATATAACACACATACACACACACAACTGCTAGTATGTCTATTTAACATCACATACACACACATAACTACTAGTATGTCTATATTACCACACACACACACACACACACACACGTTCACATATGCTCCAACACATGTCTTTTGCCTCTTTGATAGCAGCTATTCTAACAGAAAAAAAAAGTGCTATCTCTTGGTAGTTTTTGATTTGCATTTCCTGATACTGAGTTTCTTTTCATATATGTTTGGAAATTTGTGTGACTTCTCTGGAAAAAAACTGTTTTGTTCCTTTTTCTGTGTTCTTTCTTGTGCATTATTTGAGTTCCTTATATACTTTCTATACTAATCTGTTGTTAGAATTAATTCACAGATATATCCTCACATTTTATAAACTGACTTTCATTTTCTTGATTATTCTCTCTGGCTCTGCAGAAGCTTCGTTGTTCTTACCTTGTTTTACTTGCTCATTTTTGTTTTTCTTGTTCATCCTTTCTTTCTCTTGCCCATGTTTTTCTTGCATGTGGTAGATATAAAAATGCTTGTGTGTGCGTGTGTGTGTGTGTGTGTGTGTGTGTGTGTATTAAAACAAGCCCCTTCCTACTTGGGCATCAGACTCATGATTGTGACTCAACTTCTCAAGTACTGGGATCACAGGCACGCACGCAAACCTGGCTCACAGCCAAAAGCTTAATGAATTTCGCTCTACGTTTTATTCTAGATATGCTGTATTTTTCCATCTTAAGGCTTTGGCTCATTTTAGAGTTTAAGGCAACAGGTAAATTTAATGTCATTTTGATGGCTTCACCATGTACTCTCATAATGGATCTCTATTAGTCATCATGTATCACATGCATGAGTCTAGCAACATTGCCAGACTTGTGGTAGAATAGAACACTTGAAACTCATATTACATAGCCAGAAACACACACACACACACACACACACACACACACACACACACATCAGAAGCAAGTTCATGGAGATGCCAATCTCCAATCCTTTTGTGGATGTTCAAAACAGACACATTTGTAATTCTCTTTGCTGTGAGCTCAGGAAAGCTCCCAAGGTCAGCAATGCCTATCAAGAAACAAAACATTCTCTCATATTCTCCCCAGTCCTGCCTTTATCAGCGTCGGCACCCCTGATCTCCTGTGCAAGCTGCGAGTGTGTGGAGATTCACAGGGCACTGCTGATGGGAGAGACAGGGGAGGACTCAAGAGCTGTTCTTCATGTTTCTAGCATATCTCTGTAACGGAGTAGGGTTATCTAAGATAAAAGAGGTCAGGAGAGGATGAGACATGGGGGTAGAAAAGCATGGGAGGAATGGAACCCTTCAGAGTGAGAATTGCAGACAAGAGAAATGATTAAAATGAGGTCTCTGAGCACCAGGCAGTGAATGGAAAGACAAGAGAAGTTTCTGAGAACAGCTCGTGAAAATCTATGCTGTAAATGAAACCCTAAGTTGAATTCTTTTGCAAGTGATAAGGAATGGCATCGGCCGTTTCCATAGCAGCTGCTTACTAGCTCATCGCCTATCACAAAGCATGAGATACCAGCTTATTAGCTCAAAGTCAAATGGAATAGCCTTTTCTAAATACTCATTTCTTTTCTCTATTTTATTTTTGAAGGATTTTAACTGAAATAGAATGGTATGACTTTTATACTCCCTTTACTACACCCAACATAGGCCAGTTACTTTATAGTTTAATTGCTTCATATGAATCCTTCCAAGAAACACAATTAAAACACAGCCACTGCAAGGAAAATAAATATCTTTTATTAGATAGAAGTAGAAGCCCAAAGGTCTTCATTATTTGACCCACAATGGAGAGTTTTTCTCCAGGGGACAAAAAACATTAGTGCATAAACACGAGCAAGAAATGGGGTTAGTGGTACTTGTGAGCCAGGGCAGAGGCCACACCAGCCACCACCTTCTGAAAGGCAGCCTGTGCAGCGGGGGTGAAATCCTTGCCCAGGTCGTGGGACAGCACAATCACAATCATATTGCCCAGGAGCTGTGGGAAGACAGAACAGGCATCACATCATACTAGAGCAAAAACACCAGACACTGCAGGGTCATTTCAACTTATGGTTACAGTCTTAAAGCATAAACAGAATGACAGCTGGGTCCCACCTGCCAATGCTGATAAGAATCCTCTATATCAACAGAATTTATAGGCAAATTGTATTCTTCCCTATCAGCCTAGTCAGAGAGCCAGCGATCTGTTATTCTTTAGAGCTGTGCAAGGAAGCAGAGGATCGCCTATCTTCCTTGTCCTCAAAGTAAATTACCAGGAAATACTTGAAAGAAAAAAAAATAAGAAAAGAAAAGTAGATAAAGAATTTCTTAGGAAAAGAAAGAGGAAATCAAAGCCTCGAAGAACAAAGAATGGAGACCACAATATTGAGTGGAGGTAAAATCGTCAAACTATTGCCGGTCCTCCACGGGGCCAAGCAGGCATCATCAGTCCAAACTGCTCCCTAGTGTCTCTTCCCTCTTCCTTCTGATGGGGAGGTGAACACCAAAGCCAGAGGAAGGAAACCACGGGCAGACCCATCACACTCACCCTGAAGTTCTCAGGATCCACGTGCAGCTTGTCACAGTGCAGCTCACTCAGGGCAGAAAAGGTGCCCTTGAGGTTGTCCAGGTGTTTCAGGCCGTCACCAAAGGCAGTGATCACCTTCTTGCCATGGGCTTTCACCTGGGCATTGCCCATGACAGCGGAGGCAGAGGACAGGTCCCCAAAGTGTTCAAAGAACCTCTGGGTCCAAGGGTAGACCACCAGCAGCCTAAGGAGAAGACAATCGGAGGACACTGGAAGTTAGTGCCTGTGGAAAACAGACCCGGGTCTCCATGCACCCAACTTGTGAGCTGCATTGTAACCTCAATACCAACCTGCCCAGGGCCTCAGCGCCAACTCCATCAGCGTTCACCTTTCCCCACAGGCCGGAGATGGCAGCCTTCTCGGCATCAGTCAGGTGCACCATGGTGTCTGTTTCTGGGCTTGTATTTCAACACAACTATGTCAGAAGCAAGTGTGAGGAGCAACTTGTCCTGCCCCACCTTTTATGCCCTGCCCTGGCTCCTGCCTTCTCTGCCCGCTGTGAGCAGATTGGCCAATTCCAGGGTGTGACTCTGTAGGATGAGGCTTTAGAGACGACAGCCATATCTACCCAGGGTGGCTACGGCACTGACTTAGGAATCTGAGTCCTGGGTCCTCCCTCCCAATATGATCTGTTCTTATCCTCGCAGCAGACACTGGCCCTGAAACATCATTTTGGGCAACTACATTTATGAATTTTTGGATCAAAAATATAGTTGGTTTATTAGATTCTTCTTCAATATTGTTTACTACAGAAATGAAAAATAGTAGCATATTATGCGTAGAAAAATGATCTGTTGAGTGGTTTGTTTGTTTGTTTGGTTTGGTTTGTTTTGGCTTGAATGTTTGAGAGGCTCTCCCCTGAGGATACAGGTTATGCAATATAAACAAGAAGACAAAATAATCATTCTTCTATTGTTTCTCTAATTCTGTCTTTATTCAATTTTGGATTAAACCTCCAGCTAAGAAATTAAACATGTGTTCACTTATTTCAAGTTGGTCTTTTGTGTGTTTCCTTGTTTTCTTTAATCTGTTCACTTTAATCTGTAGGTTTTGAGAAGCAGTTGAATTGAGTGTGTCTTATACACTTGTTACTCTTTTAAGTTTTGGGGACCCAGAGATGGAAACAGAACTCTCAATTCAGAAGAAAATCAATACAGATACAAAGCTAGTTAGAACCCAAAGATTAGTGGTAATATTTGGGGACTCGGTTATCTGGAAGGAACATTCTCTATCTGTAATCATCTGTGGGTGTCTGGAGGAGCAGAGGGACTTCCTATCACTTAAACTCAGTGTCAGGAAAACCTAGTGGCAGAGAGGTTGAAAGAAATTCTTCCTGTGTTCAAATTTTTCTTTCTTCCTTCCTCCCTCCCTTCTTTTTCTCTCCTTCCCTACCTCCCTTTGCCCCTCCCTTCATCCCTTTCTTCCTTCCTTTCTTTCTTTTTTTGCTTTCATTACTGATTCATTCGTCTATTTTGCTGCTTTCTGAGCAGTATGTATGCTGTGTTTTAGAGTCATTTTTATGTTTGATAGTCCTTACCTAGTTCCACTTGCCGTGTCCACTTATTTATTGTTACTATTGAACTGCTTAATTTTCGTCTTTATGGATTTTCCAGTTTCCCTCTACTTCCTACTCTCTAAACTCTCGCATAAAACATCCTTAACTTTTTACACTAAGAACTTCTGAAGTAGACTTTTCCTTCTTGGTGTTAAAAGCTGCAAGAAACTAAATAAACTCCAAGAGTCACAAAAAAGAAGACATAAATAAAGGAGGAGGTTCTGGGGGGAAAAGCTACAGTAGCATGAGAGGAAGGAAAGAGGCCCATCTGGGTGAAAATGACTAACACACATTACAGAAATGTGTAAAAGTATTAAACTATGCAAAGACCTCAGTAAGTTGCCATGAGAAAAGGAAAAGCTTCAAACATTTCTGAGCTCTCTCTCTCTCTCTCTCTCTCTCTCTCTCTCTTTCTCTCTCTCTCCTTCTCCCTCTTTCTCTCTCCCCCTCTCTCTCTCTCCCTCTCTTTCTCTCTCTCCTCTTTTTCTCTCTTTCTCTCCTCCCTCCCCACCAGTGTCTGGCTGGCTGGTTGGCTGGCTACAGGCTGGTGCACTGCTCTCTGTTTCTCCCCACCTCTCACACATATGCACTTCATTGAAATATAATGGACCAGTAGTACATAAAGCCGCAAGAACGGAAATGACTAAAATACACTGTCTACAACAGCTCAGATTAGATTAGATTTCCACCACTAAACTTTCACAGGAGCTCTGCAGCAAAAGATGAGAATATAACAACAAACCTCTTAAGTTCTTTGCCATCCGTGTAATTTTAATAAGAAGACTATGATTCCTACCAACTAGGACCTGTCCGTGAAGGACATGAGTTTCAGAGAATCATTCAGAGTTCTCCAATATGGTGGTTGTTTTAGACAACTCCTTTCTGTGGTTTTCTGCTTCCAGAGTGGAGACACACGAAATGATACAGGAAGCTGTTGTGCTTTTTCTTCAGTATTTGGAAGGCAAATATTTCAAGTGCCTCCCTCCCTTTTTCAAAACTCTTGGCATCTATAAATTCTCTTACTTTATTGTCCATTCCCCAAACATCTTGCATTCCTTCATGCCTGATTATTATTATTATTATTATTATTATTATTATTATTATTATTTGTGGTTGGCGGTCTTCATTGGGTATAGTAGTGCTTAGAGCAGAACTGCCATGTGGTTGAGAGTCTTATTACTGACTGATTGGGCTGAATATGGAAGTTGGGATGGGTCAACCAATAACCCTGGTTCTCAGCCTGGGTAGATTCATGGTTGGTCATCCCACCAGCTCTCCCTTGTCTTCACCACCACGGTGAGCTTTCCTGCATTTCTTTGGCAAGTTCACCCTTTGCAGCAAGGTCTCCTGCTTTCATATCTTCAGAGTTGGCTCTTCCACACTTACACCTTCAGGGTCAGCTCTACTGTGTTGCCCAGGCATGGTGCAGGGGCTGCTTTTGTGAGTGCTGAAGCAGATGTGGGGAGGGGTACAAGGCTAGTTCTCTCACCTGCCTCAGGCATTGATGAGGAGGGAAGAGGAATTTCTCTCCTGCCCATGCTGCCACATGACAGGTGAGTGATGGGAACAACTCTTTCAAGCTAACAATATTGGGGTTGGCCACACCTTTGCCAATGGGATTGACTCTATTGTGCTGCCCACAGGGTGCAAGACCTGTTCTCAGAGTGTTGCACCTGGTGGCTGGCACTCTGTGGCCCTTCTGACCTCAAGGTCAGCTCTCTCACTTGTATCAGGCATCCATGCGAGGCAGAGGCAGAGGAGCACACTATTTCTTAATTTGTCTATTGGGGACCTTGCTGAAGAGGGGAGGCTTTAGGACCCGGGGAAGAAACTAGAAAATAATCATTCTGAATAATCTTTTCTGACCCAGAAAGACAAATATGATATTTATTTTCCTATATGTGGATATGGGCTGTTAAGTAAATGATAAAACATCTGACCCAGAGAGATTAGGTAAAGACTAGGGGTGCGGTGTCAAGAGGGAAGCATGGATCTTCCTTGAAAGCATAAAGAGAATTAATTTTATGTGTGGACTGGGGGCAGGTGGGGATGGGAGCTGGAAAGATCAGGAGGTGCAGGGAGGTGGGATGGTGGCAGACAGCATGCAGAGAGACAGATGGAAATGGGGGAATTTGGGAGATGATATGGAAAACTATCATAGTGGTAACTCCTTGGAATTTATAAAATGTAATCAGAAGGAAGATTCTTAGTAATAAGGGACACAATCTCAACTTCCCACCTCTTGTAGCATAGCAAGATTTCCAGTGGCCGGTCCAGGACGCTTTCAATTGACTTGTTGGCCAAGGGCGTCTCATGGAAATCTGTAAATAACTCAGGCTGATGCTAAGACAAATGGTTGTTCTCCACAAACTGACAGTATGGCCCCACTGCTGAGAACAACATCCTTACATCTCAATGAATGGTGAAAAGTTGAGTTGGTGCCGATATGGAGCCTTCACTTCTATGTTCTGGTCTCTCTGGAGAGGGAAGTTCCTCTGCAGGCTACTGAAAGAGAAATATGGACACTATCCCATCCACCAAACCTTCGACCTATAATCTGTCCTGCCTACAAAATATGCTAAGGCAAGGTGGCACAGGATACTTGGGAGTAGCCAATCAATGTTTGATTTGACTTAGGGTCCACTCCACAAGAAGCAATTTATACCCAACACAGTTTGGAAAACTATGAATCAGAAACTATATAGCCCAAAGATCTAGACTAAAATCAAACTGACTGACCTATTACAAAAAATAATTAATTAAATGATTCCTAATGATATTCTGCTGTATTCAGATCAGTGCCCTTTCCAGTCATCATCAAAGAGGCTTCCTCAGGCAGCAGATCAGAACAGATGCAGAAACCCACATCCAGACATTATGTGAAAAAAGAAACTAAATTGGAGGACCAATCAAATCCCTCCCCTCAAAGCTCAGGATATTAGTTGGAAAAAGAGGTGGAAAGATCATAAAACTCAAAAGGTGTAGAAAATACCAGAAAAACAAAGTCTTCTGAATTATTTAATCAAGGCACACATGAACTCACAGAGACTGAAACAGCAAGCACAGGGCCTACATGGTTCTATACCAGGTCCTCTACTTATATATCATTGCTGTGGGATAACCTTCCTGTGTGCTGTGAATATGCATTACTCTTATTGGTTGACAATAAAGTTGATTTGGCCTATAGCGAAGCAGAATAAGACTAGGTGGGAAACCAAACTGAAAACAAAGAAAGAAGAGGGTAGAGTCAGGGAGAGAGACTGAAAAGGAAAAAGAGAAATATACCACCCTTTGATGCTGGAATGCAGGGCCTTAGAGATAAACAATTCAGGCCCCTTGCTGTAAGGGAGGGGAAGGGAGCCTTTTGTCCTGTGACAGGATGTGAGTCAGGATGTTTACAGTCGACCATCAGGTCTCCAGCTAGGAAGGCAGGAAGAGATAAGAAAAACAGGTAGCACAACCCCCTCCTTGGTATCCAGGTGGGTCTGGACAACCCCCTCCTTGGTATTTAGATGAAAGGTCAAGAATGTGCCACTCAGCTTAGCCTTATTTAAACTGACCAATGAAATGAGTCCCCATAACCACGCTTTTTTTGCTTCTGTACCCGCGCTTTTGCTCTCCTATAAGAACCCCTCACCCCCAACCTGGGGGCGCGCAAATCTTCCGAGAGACCTTGCCGCCCCAGGTACCTGTGTATTCAAATAAACCTCTTGCAGTTTGCATCCGTAAGTGTGGCTTCGTCGGGTTTGTGGGTTCGGGGCCTCTCTCGCTAGGAAGACATCCTTCGGGGGTCTTTCAAGACAAAAGCAGTTGCTGGGGAAAGAAGATGTTAGAGGACAGGAAAAGTCATTTGACAAAAAACAGATTAATAGAAATGGATTAATTTAAGTTGTAAGAG